CCCCCCCCCCTCTTTCCCTTTCCCCGCCACCGGGTCCCTGTGTCGTAACGCTGTACCACATGGACAACACGTCCGACCCGCTGTGACCGCTGCGAGCATAGCAAACCCTCTTCACTCGGACCTCGCGCGGCTCGCCTAGAGCAGTCATGCCAATCACACTGTTAAGAACACAGAACAAAAAAAAAGTAATGGCTGATTCTGCACCGTGCACATTCTACAAAGCATTGGTTTAAACTACAAAGGATTTTCATTGCAAGCTACGATGGAAATAGAAGCACTGTGTTACAAAGAACCGGCTTCGTAGCCCCAAAACACGGATTTGTTTTAGGAAACTATTTTTTGTGAGATATAGACTTAAGTTTTCGGGATACAAAGCTATGTTTTGTAATACAAATACGTATGGTTGTCATGTTAACACGACTCGTGAACGAAACAGCCGAGTACTTTTTGCGACCCGAAAGTCAAACCACTTATCACTGTTGGGAAAATGAAAAGTCACGTCACTCCAAAGTACCTTAAGCACCACCACTACTTTGGAAAATACACTGTAATATTATGATGCACAAGTATTAGCGCTTTTCCGTGACAAATCTCCAAATGTGGCTTTCAAAATGAGCGTCACGTTTGCGTGGAAAAGGGGCCACTGAGTTTTCAGTGTGGTAGGAGACAAAGATGGCACCGCCTCCACCCCGCCCCCCTCCCCCCCTTTTATAATTATAACACTAAAGATGCCCGTTTGGTGTAGTATTTCCCACGCAAAATCCTCAGGAAATACCAAGCTTATTGTTAAAGCAGTTAATCTAGCTATTTTCAGACGAGGGATGAGGTGGTAGGCGGGCAGCCCATCTGTTCCAGCTGTAGGTTGGGTTGCGTGCGCGCGCTCGGACGGGCGCACCGCACAGCCCTTGTCGCTGTCCTTCCGCTTGGCACTTAAGTATATTAAAGTTGCCAAAGAGAATTCACTAGTAAACTAAGTGTGCAACTGCTTAACACTTGTAATTGTACTTGCAAGTGTGCGAATCCATAGTTGTGCACTTGCAAGTGTTCAACCGAGTTGAACACTTGCAAGTGCACACCTACCGAGTTGGACACTTGCAAGTGTCTAGCTATGGATTTGCACACTTGCAAATATTCAACTTTCAGGTGCACAATTACAAGCGTTGGGCAGTTGCACACTTAATTTATCAGTGGAGTGTGTGTTCTATCACGCCATGCGTTAGGCGCGGTGTGTTGTTCTTTACCTCCTGTAGACGTTTAAAGGGTGCTTCTGTGTAGAATTTGTATTCTCTTTTTAGGTGGTTTGATTATTGTACGTAGCTCCTAGGAGACAGTTGCCTCGGGTTTTTTTCACTTCATCGAGAAAATGTGTTTTAATAAAAAAAGAAAAGGAAGTTGGAATTGGGTTTCGGAATTGTTCATTTCATCCCATTCCTTCTAGTAGAACGCCAATCATATAAAAGATTCTATCACGACTCAAAGTGTAATCGTCGCACGCCCATACACACACTGAACGAACAACAAACGTTGTTTCATTTTCATCGAGTGTTTTTTCATGCAAAAATTGAAATTATAAAATCTTAAGCGTGTAGCAGCGTTTCGGAGGGGGGAAAGGGGGGGGGGCTCAGGTGTTCTCGCCTGATAGCTTTGGGGTCATTTGGAAAGTACGTGCGTCATTCGAAGTTACGAACCTGCCAAGTTAAGCCTCTACGAACGCTCTCATAGCGCCTGGTAGGTAGGCAACATCTTGTCTGCAGTGCACGCACGTAGTGCGGAGTGGCCTACCCTGAGTCTCACAGGCGCCGAGCTCCCTTAATTTGACAAATGAACATGAGAAAAACGGACGATTATTTGCGCGTTTATTGTGTGACGAAGCCTCAACGATATCGCCTTCCTTGGTTTCGGTCTGAATGGGTTAACTTATCGCGTTAATATTCGAAATTGCCTTTAACAAGCCAAGGAGGTATAAAGGTAAGAGCTGAGAGGGGGCAGCAGCGTTGGGATGGGGTCCCTGAACCCGACTTTGCCACTTGCTATTCATGTGGCTGTTCGTGGACCTGAAGTCAACACCCTCTCCTCCTTCTCCTGGCTCGGGCCTCGCACACGACAAGTCTGGTAAAGCTGCCATGCCCGGCTGCGGCCCTGCAGCGTTTAGCCGCGGGGTGCGCCGCCTGGCGAGGAGCCCAGGCCCAGGCCGCCCTTGCCACTTCAACCCTTGATGCCTCGTGACGAGTAAGACACACCTGCTCGTGGCGGGGCGAGGAGGGGAGAGGGGGG